TTTCTCTTTTCAATCACACTTGCAACACTTCAGGCATCTCCTGCTTCTTTCCATTATGTCAAGGAAGCTGGGGGTTTTAACCATGAGGGGTGGGGCTGTGGCTCAGTAGCAGAGCATCCCAGGTTCAATCCCCACCATCTTCACTTTAAAAAGGATCCAGTAGGAAACAATGGGAGACATTTGAGAGCCTGGGAAGCCGCTTCCAGTCAGAGGAGACAAGACTAACATTAATAGTCTGACGGTCTGACTCAGCATACGGCAGATTCATGTGTCCATGTATATTTGGGGGCCATGGCTGGGTGGCAGAGCATCTGCTTTGCAGGCAGAAATACCCAGGTTCAATCCCCAGCATCTCCAGTTCAAAGGCTCAGAAAGCAGGTGATGAGAAAGACTTCCCCGCTAGCATTCTGAGCTAATGGTGGAAACTGCCGTCAAGTTGCAGCCAGTGTTCCCTCTAAGCTGATTTAGTGTGAGCTAGCTCACAGTTTTTTAGCCTCCGGCTCACATATTTTTGTCTTATCTCAGGAAGGATGGCTCCAGAGCAAACGAATCCATGCAGTACCCAAATCACTCGCTCATGTGTCCATGTATATTTGGGGGCCATGGCTGGGTGGCAGAGCATCTGCTTTGCAGGCAGAAATACCCAGGTTCAATCCCCAGCATCTCCAGTTCAAAGGCTCAGAAAGCAGGTGATGAGAAAGACTTCCCCGCTAGCATTCTGAGCTAATGGTGGAAACTGCTGTCAATTTGCAGCCAGTGTTCCCTCTAAGCTGAGTTAGTGTGAGCTAACTCACAGTTTTTTAGCCTCCGACTCACATTTTTTGTCTTATCTCAGGAAGGATGGCTCCAGAGCAAATGAATCCATGCAGTACCCAAATCACTCGCTCACAACTTTAATGCCAGTAGCTCACAAAGTAGAATTTTTGCTCACAAGGCTTCACAGCTTGGAGGGAACATGCCGACATATGGTGACTCCATAGGGTTTTCAGGGCAAGAGATTAACAGAGGTGGCTTGTCACTGCCTGCCCCTTTCTACAAGCCCTAGACTTTCTAAGTGGTCTCCCATCTAAATACAAACCAGGGCCAACCCCGCTTAGCTTCCATGATCTGACAAGATCGGGCTAGCCTGGGCCACCTGGGTCAGGAAGCAGATAAAAACAGCCATCAAAACAGGAAACACAATTTAATACCAAGGTAGTAGATGTTTGGTGCTACCCATCCGCCATATGGGAGTTCTTGCAAATGGTTGGAGGCTTCATGGTTTCCCCCAATAAAGATGGTCAAGACTGGAGCCTTCTTCTCTCCAGAATAGTACCTAGGAGAACACAAGCCAAACCTCAAGGACCTTAGACAAAGATGAGAAGGAAACAGTATCTTTGGGTTTCTCCTAATTTCCTGCTCAGAATAAGACCATACGTGGGGGAAGATGTATTTACTAGGAAGTTTATATTCCACTTTTCCTCCATGGGACTAAGGGTGGTTATACCCTCCACAAGCTTGCAAAGTAGAACCCTGCAAAGTATATGAGGCTGAGAAAGAATGACTGGCCCAAGGTCACCCAGGAAGTTTTGTGGGGTGTGGGCATTTGAAACTGGGTCCCCTAAGGTCTTGCATCATAATGGCTTTTGAAATCTGCTATCAGCAAGGCGGAATGGGAAAATATACACATCCATGTATCACATTGCTAACTGGACTTTAAAAGTGGTAAGTTTCCCAAAGGGTAGGTAGCAAAGGAAGGTTAAGCGAATTCAAACAATGCAAGCCACAGGAGGGGAAAGTGTTTCTATATGTGGAGGGCGGGCGGGCAAATAAGCAAGAAGAGAGAAATGTATGAACCCATAATTTAAGGGGACAATACTTTAAGTAGGCCCAAGCATGTAACCCCCCACCACATCAGAGCAATGTGGGTTGTTACAGTACATGTATGCAAAGGCCTCATTTTTTATATCCTTCCACACTTTTCTGAAGTGGGAGGTAGTCATTTCTGAATACCTACACCCTGAGTCTAGGGAATTTGTGAAATTAACATCCCAAAATGAGTGACTTGCTCCAGTGGTAAGCGGTCACTGTGTGCCTCTTGAGCTCAGACAAATTTGGCATAACATCATCATAGGCTATAAATCTCTCACATCTCCTAACCTTTTCAATCTGAGCATGCGTGTGCGGAATGTCCTGAGTGCACACGACATTACACACACACCTAGCATCCTGGTTATCATGTTAGATTAGCAGCTGGGAAACCCAGGTCTGAATCTCCACTCTGCAATGGAAACTGAAACTCACTGGATGGCCTTGGACCAGTCACTTTCCCTCAGCCTAGCCAACCTCACAGGGCTGTCACTGTGAGGATAACATGGAGGTGGGCTGTCATGAGCCACCGCTGGGAAGAAAAAGAAGTTATAAACATCTCAATAAATACTCTACAATACTCCTTGTTTTGGAGTGCACACACAGAGTATTTTACAGAGCAGCCTCTAACCCATAACAGTTTTTACTACAATAAATCTGTTAACCTTTATGGTTCCACAAGACTATTCCACCGCCGCCCCCTCCCCACTTTTCGTATAACAGATTTAAGAAGCCTGCAGTTTGTCATCCAAGAACCCATTGGTACGTACTTCCTAACCCTAGACACGTGGTCAAACGGGGGGCTGAGAGAACAGGACACCCAGACTTCCCTCCCTTCGTCGCTGCGATTAACCAGGAGGCGGTTTTTGCACTCTGCACGTGGCCAAAGGTACCCTCTGTATTATCACGTAACCTCGCCCCTCCCTGGCAATCCAAGCAGACCACCGAGGGAGGAACCCCAACTCGAAAGGAAAACTGTCCAGACTACTTACTGCGCGAAGCCTCCCATCTGCCGGTATTTGGGGGGCACGGCCATACATTGGAGATCGGCCGAGTCGCGGACGGCTTGGAAGTCCCCAGTGCAGAGAACCAGGTCCGGCCGCGCCTGGCCGTGGCGCTGCTCCATCAACTCGATCGTCTCGTACATCTTATCCAGCGCGCCATGGCAGCAACCAGTCACGGCCACCTTCATTTTCCAGATGCGACGCATGCGCCAACGGCATCGCTGACGCAGGCACCCTTCTTCAGGCAAAACTCGTTCCCGGAGTTCGGCCCGATGTGCGCGTGCGCAAACAGACGGGCGACGCGGCTGCTGGGCGGCTCTGTGGCGACCGTTGGGCGCTCTTTTCCCCGCCTTTTTTCGCTTTTATTCAGATTGGCGCCTCTAGCTCCCGTTGAGGAGAGTGGGAGCTTCAGAGCGAAGTTAAATATGGTACATTTCAGGCGCCCCCCCTCGGGGGCGTGGCTAATTAAATAAAGTTAGTTAATTCAATTTGGGGCAGCGAGGGAGGGGGCCGGGCCCCATGGCCCGTGTTAGCCACTTAACAGGCCTGGGTTTCAGAAATGAAAAATAATACGATGTAAGGTTAAACAGGAAAAAAAAATCATTTAGTTTTTATTTACAGGGCTAATTTTGGGCAGGAACGCACAGGAACGGAGTTCCGGCTGGCTTCAGAGTTGGCCACACCCACTCCAGCCGAATGCCTGGCTACAGAGGGAAGGCCCGGAGAGTGACCCGCCCCCGGCAACTCCGAGGCGGGCGTGGGGGGGCTGGAAGGCTTGGGGAGGCATTTACTCAGAGTCTTCCCCAGCCTGTCCAAGGGCCAACTTGCACCTGGGCAAGCCAAGGGAAGGTATGGGGGTGTGGCCTAATATGCTAATGAGTTTCTGCTGTTGGGTGTGGCCTAGGGTTGCCAAATGATACCTCCTGGGTGGGGGACTCCTGAGGACCTCCTGGTGTGACGTGCACGCAGGGGTGGGGTTTCCCGTCGCGTCAGAAATCGGGCCGCCAAAGCGGGGGATTCCCCGGCCCCATTTGGCAACCCTAGTGTGGCCTATTATGCTAATGAGTTCCTGCTGGGCTTTTTCTACAAAAAAAGCCCTGTTTATTTATAACCCGCCTTTCTCACCTAGACTCAAAGTGGATTACACATGCAACCCTGGTTAGTTAGAACAAAGTTTGAGTCCAGTGGCACCTTGAAGTCCAACAAAGTTTTATTCAAGGTAGGAGCTTTCGCATGCAGGCACACTTCTTCAGATTCGTGCACTGGAAAGCTAATTCCTTGAATAAAGCTTTGTTGGTCTTCAAGGTGCCACTGGACTCAAACTTTGTTCTACAGCTTCAGGCCCACAGGGCTGCCCAGCCCACCTGGATCCCTTCTCAGTTAGGTGGATGTAATGAATTCTACTGTGCCATTTGCCCTAATTTCCCCCAAAAAACTCAAATAGACATCTGAAATAAATATCTGAAGAACTGTGCATGCACACAAAAGATACCAGAATAAAACTTTGTTGGTCGTAAAGGTCCCACTGGACTCAAACTTTGTTCTGCTGCTTCAGACCAACACCGCTGCCGTATCTAAGGTAGAGAAGTTGCTCCAAACCCTTGGTTATTCTGATTGCCTTTAGGGAGGCATCTTTTCCACTTCCATAGATCAACCAGCTATACCTTCCCCCTAAAGTTTTCACAGGCTGATATGAAGAATTAGTAATTTATGTGGGATGAGGATGACTGTAGTGTATAGACACATCTTATTTAGTACAGGGATATGTGTGTGTCGTCCATAGAGTTTCATTGTTCCTGCGTTTTTCTATGAGCTGTTTATATATCAACTGATAGGATTTTTAGAAGAACTTCAGAGAAGAACTTTCACTCCAGGATTTGGAGAGTATCCAGTTTGCCACAACTCATGCTAAAATCTTGAACAGAGTTATACCCCCCTAAACTCATTGGCTTCCACAGATTTAGAAGGATCTAGCTCTTCAGATTACACTGTCAGCATATCACCAAATTGTTGATTGCACCATTCTTTGGCTTATGTCTCCACCTTCCTTCTCTTTCTTTCTTCAGGCCAATTGCATAACCAGTAGAAAAATACAAGAATGCAAATTGCCCAAACCTAAATTACTCGTGGCCACACCCTCCTGAGCAACGCAACAGAAGGTTGGATGGAGCAGGGAGCCACAGTCAGTTGGCTATGAGAACACCTTTCGCTCCACAGCACAACAGCAAAAAAGGTCCCCAGCTGAACACCCGTGTTGCCGCGCAGCTCAGAGCATGAGGTGCCTGGATCGGTTCCTGGATCCACAGAAGAAAATGCCAAATCCAGCTATGCATGGGCAGGCATCCTAACCTCCAGGGAAATGGCCACTCGCTTCGGTACCTTTCTCCTTGGTTCCCTGGTGCCACTTTTGGTCTCAGGTACGTGCCTAGAATTTTGCAATTGCAGTTCAGAACGGTAAGGGAAAAGGTTAAGCACAGCTTAGAGGAGTGCTTAGACATTTTTTCCAGCCCTGTAGAGTAATCTGAAGTGCTTAACTGCTGCATGAAATGTATATATATGTAATGGTGAGAGTGCTGGACTTGGATCTGGAAGACATGGGTTCAGTTCCCCCACTGTGCTATGGAAACTCACTGGATGACCTGGGGCCAGTCATTATCTCTCAGCCTAACCTACCTTACAGGGTTGTGAGGACAAAATGGAAGAGGGGAAAGTGATGGTGTAGGGGTACTAGCCTCCAGATGGGACCTGGGGATCCCCTGGAATTACAGCTCCTCTCCAGCCTATAGAGATCAGTTACCTTGGAGAAAATTGATGTTTTGGAGGGTAGAGTCTATGGCATTGTACCCCACTGAGGTGCCTGTCCTCCCCAAATTTCTAGGAATTTCGCAACATGGGTCTGGCAACCTTACCCCCCCCCCATCCCCTGCCAGTGGCCGGGGGGGGGGCTGCTGGCACCCCTAAGCTTCTGGGACCCCATTGGGGAGAAGAAAGCAGGGTATACACATCTAAATAAATAAACATTTTGATGAGATTTATCAAATGATAACAAGCACAAAAGGAAGATAGCCATGTCCTGGGCTGGGAAATGAACCTGGGAAATGTAAACAGCATCTCTGAAATACAGTTGCCCCTTGTAACCAAAGGAAAATCAATTGCATCCAGGCAAACAGAAAGCCCTAAAGTAACTGGTTACAGATGGGAAGAAAGCATGTCTTTGTCATGGTAGCAAGGATTCCTAATGAGATGTTGTTGGAATTGCAAGTTGCTTACACTTCAGTCATTACAGAGTTAAATGTTGTTTGTTAGGAAACAGGATGTTACGTTACATAATGTATTCAACGGCGGGAAAGTTTGTGGGAGTTGTTTATCCTAATGAAGTGACCTGTAACCTTTGTATTGGTCAACTAACATCTTGTTTGTAGAAATGCTTTGATCTAGCATTAATGTATTCACAAGTTTATGGCCCTTTGTGTGAACCAAAGAGGTAGTTCTCTTCTAGAAGCCAAGACAGATAGAAAGATGTAGCTGTTAGCATATATTACTGAGAGTAACTGCAAGTATGTAACCTTTTATTTTATTTCTTTTATCCAAAGTACCATACCCATGTTTTATTTTGTTTTCATAGTAAAGATATTTTTCTTTTACTAAGTGTGGCTCTTGTGTTTGCAATACAACCATCGACCTTGAATTAAAAATCCCAACAGATGTCCCGATCCTAACAATGCAACCCTGAGCAGAGTTACCCACACCTAAGTCCATTGAAGTCAATGGACTGGAACACGCAGTATTTCCATTGATCAAACAACTCTGCCTGTGGAGCATGATTTCCCCCTTTACCCTCTGCTGTAGCCCCTGAAATGCCCCTGAAACGTATTTATTTAGTATATTGTCATTCCATCTTTCCTGCAAGGAGCTTGGCCCATCATATGTTCGTCACTCATCTTCCAATTTACCTTCACAACAATCCTGGGAGGTAGAGAGAGAGAGAGGGTGACCTGTCCAAGGTTCGTATCTGTGTCTCCCCCAGATTGTAGCTTGACACTTCATACCAAGTACTGTTCTTGGGGGAGAAGCTTTTTTGGGCTGCGCCAGGAAAGGAAGGCAAGAAAGGTGCATTCTGCGGGTGGTAAACCTGCTGTGGAAAATGCTGTGTTGAATCCACCCCAGTGGGCATAGAAGAGTGTTTAGGATTGCATGGTAAATAATGCACTGGGGGAAGCAATATCTTTGAGGAAGAAAAGAGCATTATAATTGGGGGGAGGGGAAGCAATCTACCAACACTGACCAAGGCTTGTTCTCCTGTGCCCAGTCTCTTAAAATACTTAAAATGGAATAACAAATTGGCACTAGAGAGAAAAGAAATGAAGCTGATAGATAGAGTTCTTTTGCTGTTCAGTAGAAGTATTTTTGCTTTTCACGCACATGTATACATTGCATGAGTTTTTGGGGAAAAACTGGACAGTGGAACTAGCAGAAGGACAACTGAAAGCAGGCAGTGGTGGAGCGGGAAAGTTTTAATGGGAGAGGGGTAAGGAGGCAGCAGGCAGTGGCTGGGTCCTTCTCGGTCATCACTGACATCTCAAACCTAGGAGGAACAAAGTGCTGCATCAGCTCAGACGTTTGCAATGCAGTTGCAAGTTCTTTATTCGTTTACAAAAATGTCTGCACCAAGTTTCTGAGTTCAGTGGGGCTTAATTCCAAATCACCCTATGTAGGATTACAGTCTTAAAAAAAACTGATGTAAGTTTTACAGTCTATGTGCTCAGGAAATGTATTAAACATATTCCTTCCTGAGGGAAAGTGCATCAACAGCGCACTGGAAATGAGGAATAAAACACACATTTACTGAGTGAACAAATTCTCACGGAAAGATTGCTTTTGGCATCTCAGTCTTCAAGCATGTGAGCCAGGAGGTTTGATGACTCCTTCCTTTCAGCCTCCTTCGTCACTTTGAATTACGAAACATTTAATCGGGTGCTTTATAAACCGACATCCAGTCTTCCGGGTTTAGATTGTTTGGCTGTTCTGTTCTGGTAGCAACCGAATGAACGTCTGGATTCATTATGCATTATGCACTTAGCAGTTTTAAAATCCAGCCTTTCCTTCAAGGAACTCAGCTGGCCTTGTTCTCCTAGCCTCCGTTTTATCCTCATAACCACCAGTGTTCCCTCTAAGCTGAGTTAGTGTGAGCTAGATCACGGTTTTTTACCTTCCGGTTCACACATTTTTGTCTTAGCTCAGGAAGGCTGGCTCCAGTCCAGAGCAAACTAATTGATGCAGTAGCCAAATAGCCTGCCTGCTCACAACTTTAATGCTGGTAGTTCACAAAGTAGAATTTTTGCTCACAGGACTCCACAGCTTAGAGGGAGCATTGATGACTACCCTGTGACATAGGGTGGGCTAAAAGACAGTAACTGGCTCAGAGTTACCCAGTATAAGGATTCTCCCCGACCCTATTCCAACACTCAACTATGCCGCTCCTTACTGAATTTTCAGTTAAGGATGTGGATAGCCTTGCATACAATGTAGAGCTTAGACCACATGCATGACTTTTTCATCCCCTACAGTTCTTATCGTTCTGTGGCTAAGGGCCGGTCCATACATGCCACAGAATGAGACAGGAATGAGAGGAGTCCAGAAGTGGGAGAATGGGGCACACCCAGGGCTTTTTTTCTGGGGGAATGCACCAGAACGGAGCTCCGAAACCTCTTCAACAGAATTCTTTTAAAAATGTTTAAAACTTAATGAGTTTTCAGTATACAGATTGAAAACATCATTTTCCTTTTGAGAGTTCCGGCACCTCTTTTTCTGGGGTGGGGGGAGCCCTGGCCATTCCACTTTAGACTGGTTGGGGGGGAGAGATCACATTGGTATGTCAAAAGCCTCACCACATTTTCCTAGCAAAACACAGAGCAGGCTGAGCTAGAACCTTCTTCTGTGATACACTCATTGTTTCAGGGTTTCCTTTCTTCACTTCCAACACTATTTTCTCCTCAAAGTGAGTGAACATTCAAAGATTTAAAAAGGACCCCATCACTTGCAGTCTGAAATGGTACAATCCGCAGCAGCATCTCCAGATTCCACAACCACATTCTGCCACATGTGTGAACCATGTTTATATTTTGTGTTGCTCATTAGCAAAGCTGCAAAATTGAGATAAGACAAATGGGCGGGGGGGCACTGTTCATCAGGGGCAGCTGCTTCACACTGTAGAATAGTTGGAAGGGGCTATAAAGTCCATCTAGTCCAACCTCCTGCTCAGTGCAGGATCTCAGCCTAAAGAATCCCTGACAAGTGTTCGTCCAACCACTGCTTAGGGATGCCAGCCTCCAGGTGAAACCTGGGGTCCCCTGGAATCTCTGGACTACAGAAATCAATTCCCCCTGGAAAAAATGGATGCTTTGAAGGGTGGCATTGTACCCCATTGAGGTCCCAGACCTCTCCAGGCTCCATCCCTCATTCTCTAGGAGTTTCCCAACCTGGATCTGGCAACCCTACCCCCCCCCATCCCCTGCCAGTAGCCGGGGGAGACCTGGCAACCCCAGCTTGAAGACTGCCAGTGAGGGGGAGCTCACCACCTCCCTTTCAGGCTGGAATAGGTGTGGTAGTTAGAGCATTCTTCTATTACTACGGGACCTTTAGACTGGTGGGAAGTTTCCTGGGAAACTATGAAATAGTCACTGATTTATCCTAACCTAAATGGAAGGGAGAATTGTTTGGACCGCCCTGAGCTCCTTGGAAGAAGGGAAGCAAAAAATATTAGTAAGTAGAAAGACGTACCTCTTAAGGAATCCACTACCTGGACATATCCAATTTGAGGGATTACTCATCCCTTCATTTCATGGTTTTGGGCACCATCCTGAAACATTGGCTTTTTAAAAAACTTTTCCAAATGAAGTCCAGCTGCTATTTGTATAGAAAAAATTCAATTATTTCTAAACTTCACTTGAGGTCAGGAATCATTAATTTGTTTCTATTACTTTTTTTCTTTATGTACATCTTCAAAGGCTATAATTTTACAACTTCCCAGGAATAATTTTTTAAATTAAAATACATCAGCTATTTTATTTCTTATGAATACATCCTTTGGGGTACCATATTGTGTAGCCCAGTGGTGCTACCTTACTTGCGGGTACCCCTAATAGCAGGGCACCCCATTTCTAACCTGAACCAGAGACCCACAAAAGTCAGGTCAAGGAAGGCACTCCTGACCTGAAACACAGAGTTAGCCAAAAAGCTCTGAAAAAAGCTCTCCATTTTCAGGTGGCAACAAGGCAGCCCTCAGAGCAAATCTCCAGTCTTCCCCCACCACCACCCAGAAAGATATACATATGAAACAATAGGTTCCACCAGGTATAGTATCTGCATTTCTATAGCTATTCATTTGCCAGTTGGCAAACAGCCCTTCAGAACTTCACCTAGTCCTTTTGTGTGCACCTATGTCTATGTGAGAATCCTTTGTCTCCACAACTGTCTTTCCTGCTCCATCCCTCAGGATACCGAGATAAATCAATCATACATTCAAATGTTTAGCTATCCTTCCTGATGCTAATCTCCTACCTTTTGTCTATACTTGGGAATCTATTCAGCCTACCCGGGCGGAACCACCAATAGTCATCAAACCCATTCAACCAGCCCCTGTACAGTCACCCCACACCTGGCTAATCCCATCATATCTATTGTGAATCCTGACTCTGCCCCTCTGAGACGTCACTGTTCACACCTAGGCCCCCATCCTGATGCCACACACCCCTGGGACCCCTGATTGGCCCAGGTAATCTTTTCTTTTCCCCTGGGGCAAGCCCCTCAAGACCTTCCATTAGTCAGCATTGTTCTCTAATGTCTATATCCGTCCACGCACATGGCCACAGATTGTGTGTCTGCCCTGGATGCCAACTGGCAGCTCACCCCCAAAGTTTTGTTTACATGTCTACATGGACCCCTGCACATCTGGACAGGTCGTATCACCCCATAACTGACCCCTCTATTTGCTATCAATCACCTCTGCTTTCTTAGTTCTGTATTGCTTGTCCTTTTTGAATGCTTAGTGTGCTTATAGTTAGGGAAATACTTTAATAAAAACTATTTAATTTACTCTTCAAATCTGGAGTCTTCCTACTGTACTGGACCTTGGTATGCAATTGGTGTGCGATCCCTGTACTCCTCTGGTCTCCCCTGCCACATAGCTAATTTCCCCAAACAACGAGGCAGGCCATTTTGGTGGTAACAGTATTGAGGCTCCCTTTTCCCAGATGTGGCTTGACATGTCCTTGGTTTAATAGAATACAACAAGCACATATTTTCCTGTGTTTCCATAAACCTGAGACCGTTTTTTTTTTATTTTTCATGAAACATAAACATGAATGAAACGGGCCTGGAATATCCTAAGGGGGCCAGGCCCCAGACGGCCCCTCCAGTCACTGCTCTATCGTGGCTGGCGCATCTCCTTAATCACAACAGAGAGTTGCCTTTGCAAAGGCAGCCATATTGTTGTGTGTTGTTGTGCAGGGTTTCTCATGGGAAGGCTGTGACAAACCCCTACCTATTCCTAGCAGGAAGAAAGGGGGACATAAGGAGTAAGTAGAGGGTGGTAGGGGATCAGCACAGACCGCTCAAGGACTCCATCTTGCCTTTCCTGTGCCTGAGACACTGATGCAACCACAGCATCTCAGTGACTGGTAGAGCAGGCTCCAGGAATCTGGCTTGGGCTCTTGGGGAGCTGTTGTGGCAGAGTGACGAGAGAGTTATCTGAGAGGTCACCAGGTCAAATCTCAACTCAGCTTTGAGATCATTGGGTGACATTAAGCAAGCCTCCCTCCCTCCCTCTCTCTCTCTCTCTCTCTCTCTCTCTCTCTCTCTCTCTCTCTCTCCCCCCCCCCTCTCAGTTGCCTGCATTTCTGGTATTGAGCTCTACAATATGGAGATAAATATGCTGGCCTGCCTTATAGGAATGTTGTAAGGATCACTGTTATAATATATTTGACGATATGTTTGAACACAGAAAATTCTACATAAAGTGAAGTTCATTAACAGATTCAAGAAAATGTAAAGCCCACCCCACAAGGCTTACCTGGGACTGTGGGTTCCTAACTTACTATAGGTGCTACCATCTTGCATACCCAGACTCCAACTCATTCCACCACCATCTCATTTCATCCCTCACTAAACTTCATGTGTATTCCAGTTTATTGTTGTTAGGAGTGTTTCACACCCACCCTGTATGAATGGATGACTCCTTCAGATGGATCTTGTTTTACAGTGGCCTCTCTTTGTAACAGCTACCTACCACTGCCCCTGGCTGTATCATGCCCAGTGGTTGTCCACTTCCTGCGTCTGAAGAAGCGAGCCCTGATTCATGAAAGCTTACGCTGAAATAACTTTTGTGTAATTTTGCTGCAGCAGACTAACACGGAGTTATTGCAAATATGAATCACTTTTATAAGTGCTGCATTTTTCTGTTGCCCTGGGAACTTTCACCCAGTCATCTTCTTTTGTACAGGAACTGATTCCCAAAGTATAATTTTTGGCTGAAATTTGGTAGGAAATTTGGGATCCCTGAAAGATGCCTGCCTGATCTTTTCTTGAAAATCTGGAGATTTCCATACCCTCCTTAGACAAGGTAGCTAAGCTAACCTAGACTCCTCCATAACAAGTCAAATTTTTAACATCTGTCTTTTTTCTCTTCGTGCATCGCTGGGTGATTTCTTCACGAAGGTGCACTACTGCCAGCACCTCAGAATATTACAATCTTGTCCACGAACATGAAGCATTTTCTGGTATGGAGTCCACTGACAGTGCCCGGAGAAGCTGTGAAATACTCCATCGAGTTTCAAGGGTAACTTTTCCTATAAAGTTTGTCTCCCATTTTGAATGCTTGCTAGTTTTAGGCAAACCCTGGTTTGGGCAATGGGGGCAGATTAAAAGGCACACTACAGATTCAGTGAAGTAGGATCACAACAAATCCAAGGTCTTTTAAGTTCTCTGTGTGGAGATATTCATTTTTATTTGTGTAATATCATCCCTGTTTCTGTTTAGCACAAGGAGGTGTACAAACATGCCCAGAAGAATGAGCAACACAATTAAAGCATAAAAACTATGATAGAAATCTTCTCAAACACTCCAAAAGCCAGCTACATTGCAACACGTTGATTGCTTGCAGAAAAAATAATAATTCATAGTTAACGGTAAAACCCAATATCTCTGAAGAGAACCTGCTGAAAAAGAATAGTCTTAGGCAGTGTTCCCTCTAAACTGAGTTAATGTGCGTTAGCTCACAGGTTTTTAGCCTCCGGCTCACACATTTTGTCTTAGCTCAGGAAGGATGGCCCCAGAGCAGACTAATTTATGCAGTAGCCAAATCGCTTGCTCACAACTTTAATGACAGTAGCTCGCAAATTTGAATTTTTGCTCACAAGAATCCACAGCTTAGAGGGAGCATTAAAGATCAGGCATAATATGTAAGCTACAAGTTCATTCAGCTTCAGTTTAACTTGGGACATGCAGAGAAGGGAAAGGGACTTCAACCTCCACTGTCTGAAACCCTGGCCATCCCTGCTCTGCTATTTGCATTGTAAAGGGGAGGAAATAATTGTAAAGGAAAAAAAAATGCATGTGTTTTCCTTTGAAATGCTAATAGTGAAGCAGGGAAGTCAGTTGGAAAGTGTAAAACTGAGTGGAGGGGGAAGTGTTAAAACTCTTTTCCTTCCCTGCATAGCCCCTGAGTCAACAATTTCCATGCTATGAAACGAGACACATGATCCTGTTCTCCTCCTTTGAGCCCTTACAGGTCTTGCTAAAGAACATCAAAGGTGGCGCTTTCCAAGCCACCTCTGGTAGTCCGTTCTGCAGTATGGAGGGAACAGTCCTATAAGAGTCCCGAGGCAGAACCCACCCCACTCCCCAATATGAGAGCAAGACATGAGAGGAGAAGTTGTTGTGAAGATTGCGATTAGCATATGGGTTGGTAGGCAGAGATAGTCCATCTGGTGTGGAGAAAGGCCTCTCCCGCCAAGCCTCTTGAAAATTCAATGCAAGTTGGAACATATGGTCGTAGATCATTGGCATGACAATGAACCAGTCCGTGTGAGAAAGTGGGAGGGAACCTCATCCTCTGCCAGGCTCATGTGCCCTACAGCTCTTCATTCATGTTGCAACACACATTTCATAGGTGTTGCTAAGAAAATCTTGTGTAGATGTTGCACAAATATTTGCTCCTAGAACACACAGAGAGTGTTTTGCACCACATAAAAATAGATAAGGGTCAAAACACACTGAAAACACCCAAATGCATTAAAACATTATTAAGGAAGGAAGGCTGGTCCAGACTAGCCCAGTTTCATCAGATCTTGGAAGCTAGGCCCTGGTTTGTACTTGGATGGGAGACTGCCAAGGAAGTCCAGGGTGGCTACACAGAGGCAGGCAATGGCAAACCATGACGTTTTCCGCAGTGTCAAGTTTTCCCCTGCCTGCTCTTCTATTCATCCGTGGCTTTCCCTTGTTTCCCCAGATGATTTCTCCCTCCCAGGAGCAAAAACGCAGTTTGCCCCTCCTTGCGGCGCAGCATGGAAATTCCTGGAAACAGGGAAGTCTAATGCTGCGGAGCAACAGGGAACAGACTGCGTTTTTGCACCTGGGACTGCGAAAACATCTGTGGAAAAGAGGGAAAGCAGCGGAGGAATACAAGTGTAGGAAACTTGACACTGTGGAAAATGTACATCTCTGTGCTTCTCTTGCCTTGAAAATCCTACAGGGTCACCATCTGCAACTTGACGGCATTTTCCACCAAGGAAAGAAAACTGTCTGAAGATGCAGCACTCACTGATGTGGGCATAGCCTTATCATGTGATGGGGTGAAGAGCCTGTTAAAGGGCACCCACGTCATCAATTACATTGTTTATTATATTAGTGAGGGCTGCCATTTTGATTTGGTGCTTCAGCCACCAAAAAGTCATGGGCCGTCTCAGTGTGCAGCCCACATTTGGCAGGATCAGTTACCTTGTTAGGACTAGGAAACGAGTAACTGGTGCAAAGATCGCAATTGACATATGGGTTAGTACAGGCAGAGGTGGTCCATCTGCTATGGAAAAAGGCCCCCTTTGCAGAATCTTGTTCGGATGGCGAACTTTTGTTCCTTGAGGGACACTATGTTGAATGGACACGGGTTCAAATTGTTACTAAACACAAAAATGTATTGGGGGGGGGGGGAATGAGGCATTCCCAGCATTTCTTTTTGTCTCCCTCAGAGAATATGAGAGGGACTATGCAAACGACAGCTGGATACCGATTGGAGAGTGCACTGATATCAGTGCCACACAGTGTGACATCACGGAAGACATCTCAGCTACTGTGCCCTACAATCTACGGGTCCGGGCGGCTCAGGGGACAGAGGTCTCACGCTGGGCCACTCTCAATGGGCTTTTCAATCGTGTCACCAGTAAGTACTTTATTCACTCACCACTCTTTCCTGAATCACATATGTGGGGGAAAGAAGTGGCAGAGATCTGAAATGATAGAACAGATTGCACGGCTTGAGACTGTAAAGGGGAAGGTTCCAGTTGTGGATGTTCCTTGATATAAAAAACTCCCCGCATTTAGAAAATTAGAACAGCAGGGCAAAAGGTTCTACCCGCTCTCTTTGTTTGCTGTGCTGGTTTTCTATTTACAGAGAGTTGGGTTTGTTTGTTTTTTTACATAAGGTAGCATTCTTTTATCCTTTATCTGCACTCCATTCTGCTACCTCACCTCATTGCCCCCTCATTCCCTTGCATGTGCGAGTCACCCCTGATGTCTAATTTTCTAGGTGGAGTGGGGGGAAATGTGGAAGAGGGGAGGTATGTCAAAGCACGCAGTCATCTTGCTTATCATCTCTTGATTTTATTGTCACCAAGAAGAATGTTTACCTTTTTTTAATTCCACCCTTTCCCGAAGGAGCTCAGGGCAGCATATGTGGCTCTCCTCTCCTCCCTTTTATCCTTACAAACACCCCTGTGAGGTAGGATAAACTGAAAGAGAGTCTGGCCCAAGGTTACCAGTCGAGCTTCTTTGCTGAATGAAAATCTGAATCTGAGTCTACCAAGTCCAGCACTCTAACCCCTACACCACACTGAACAGGCATGTTACGAACTTGCCCTGAGCCAGGTTCTCTTAGGATCTGTTTTAAAAAGTCAAAACTTCTGCTTCCATAATTATATCACACTCACAAATTACTGAAAGCCTCTGTGTTGAAAATCTAACATGATCCTGGTGCCATTTTTTTCCATATACCCTCCCTCCAACGATACCTACTTAATTAATATATGTAGTATTTGTACTTTATGTATACCATTTGCTGGTACAGATGGAACTTGTACCCAGGCCTTTGGGTACTCTGTGTACAAATTCTGCATTTCAAATAGCAGAAGCAGCAAGAGCAGCAAAGAGGAACAAATAAGCTTGCCAGATTCTGTGAGATGCTGAAACTGCCATTCTAAGCAAGTCTACTCAGATTTCTGCTCAGGGCGGATTCCTCCCAAGAAAGTGCTCTTAGGATTGCACTGTCGAGTCAACCCAAGACATTTCGATGTCTGAGGTAGAGAATCCCCATTTCCCCCTCCCCATTAATGATAATAATAATTAGAGTAGATTAATTTTGTAACATCACATTAGACTGTCCCTTTTATTTATTTATTTAAACATATCACATTGGAGAAACGACTAATTTACATTAGAGAATCTACAAAATCCTGGATATGGTTTCCCAGTAAGTCTTTGATTAAGGAAAGCACAGCCACATACCTTTCTAATTTCCCTCCATGCTGGAAAACCTTAGGATAGTCATGGGGGCTGTTTTCCCACATTCCTTAAGTGTATGCTCATGGCCTTCAGAAAGAAAAGCTGCATGACCACAGTCACTAAGGGTGGGGGCATGAGCACAATTCCCTCAAACTGCTTATCAGAAGTCCCAGACTGAGATTTCACCCAAGAAGCAGACTGACTGGGGAAGAGGGTCCTGATGCAATCACAAAATCCAATCGCATATGAATTTTGCAATCATCCCTTGTCAAAAATAGAATAATAAAGATACCCCCAAGTCAGCTTCCTAGGGAGCACTTGATTTACGCTAGTAGGACAAATTTCAAATCCTGGAGCACCATAGAGACCGACAAAAAATTTCAGAGTATAAGCTTTCATGAGTCAAAGTTCACTTTGTCAGATAGCCACAAAAACCTATACCCTGGGAAATGCTGTTGGTCTCTTAAGGTGCTCCTGGACTTCAATTTTGTTCTGCTAGACTAACACGGCTACCCACCTGAAACAGATTTATGGGGTGGGGTAGACTCCCTGTGCCTTTTACAGGTGGGAGAATTTCCACAGGTGCAGTTCTTTCTACCTTTGCAGTGTTATGATGGGAATAACTGCATCCCAACCTTTATCTGATTCACCAGACAACTTGGCTGAGACCTAGTTTTCAGTGCCAAGGTTGAGCCCTGCACAATGGGAAGCAACAGTAATAGACACAGCGGTTGTGACCATGAGTCAAATACATTTCTGTCACTCACATACAGCGGAGAGCCAGCATGCTGTAGTGCTTATAGTGGTGACTAGGATAGGGGAGGCTTGGGGTCAGATCCCCTACTCTGCTATGGAAGCCTGCTGAGTGACTTTGGGCCTAACCTGCCTCACCAGGTTGTTGTGAAGATAAAATGAGGAGGGGAGAGAATTGCACCTTGGAGGAAAGAAGGGCTAAAAACATGATAGATGGAAAGGTAGGGCAAGGGTTTTCAACAGGTAGTTCATGAGCTACCGGTAGCTCACCTGCTGTTGCAGAGGAGTTTGTGCATCCCCTAGAAGAGCCAGGAAAAAATCAGGAGAAGATCTGCTGCAGGTCTTTTTTTAAGCTCTTATAGGATTTTTCTCTCCAATGTTTAGTTGATAGCTTCACTTTTGGTGATGTTCTGTTTCTAGGACAGAAAAAAACTTGGGGCAGATATGGGGGAGGGGGTTGAGGAGAGTAGCTCAGTTTATCTTACACTAGTAAGAAGTAGCTGTTATTATTTATTTTTTTAAAAAAAGGTTGGTGACCCCTGGGGTAGGGCTGCTAGTTCAGAGATGATGAGATCTAGGTGAAGCTTGTCCCACCACCTCTCATGCAGGCATTCTCTAGTGGCTGCACCTCCTTAAGTTCCGTTTCTATCAAAGGCCTGGAAGGTGTGACCCAAATTTATGATAATCACACGGCAGGATGGGATTCTTGTGCCTTTAATAATGGTATAGGAGGAGGAAGTCCAGCAGGTGCAGTTTTGTCTCATGTCAGCCTGCAGCCTGTGGACAGTTGTACCTAACTTTCCTTCTCTACACAGTTCTTAAAGGTACATGAGCTCCATCTCCAGCAGTCCTCTCTGTTGAGACACCGGTGGCTCAGCTGGGATAAGTTTCCTTGTCTCATTAAATGGTTTTGTGTGCGGTTTGCTCAGAAACCATAGGCCTAGCAATAGCACAGCTGTTGTTTTGAGTGCGAGAGGCTATCACACAAGACAATGTTACATGGAACAATCTCTTTACTACTTTTTTTTTCACCCCATGCATACAGGTCAGGGATATATATTCTAGGCAATTTACAGGCCATCCCTCGCTCCAGTTCCTCTGTTTTAATACATGAGTTTAGTTGAAATTTTAAATTGGTGACCTCGGTTGACTCCTGTTCAGACATCAAAAACCAAGGGCCAAACTACATATTAAACTAGGCTCCTTCCTCTGCTGTTGGCATTTTATAGGTGAAAAGACACACCCTTTAAAAACACATACATTGTTCCTTCAAAATGCTAATGATCAAGCAGGGAGTCCTGTTTTGAATAAGTACACTCAGTAGAGATTGAAGAGTTAAGCCTCTCTCCTTTCCCCACATGGTACTGAGGCAAAGTGAGGTTGCACTTTATGGACAGAGCAAGACAAGAGAACTTTGTCTCACCTGTTTGAGCCACTAGTTTTTAGGAAGAGATGGGTGACTGTAGAATGTGTATCTTTGGGGCATTCCTATGTGAAAAGATACTTTTTGGGTTGCATTAAAATCAGACCTGCCCTGACCTGGATGGCTGAGACTGAACTAAACAATCTTGAAAGAAAAACAGAGTCAGCCCTGGTTAGTACTTGGATGTGAGACCACCAAGGAAGACCAGGGTTGTTATGCAGACCTCCAAACGTCTCTTGTCTTGAAAACCCTATGAAGTTGCCATAAGTTGGCTACGACTTGATGGGACTTTCCACCACAACGAAATCAAACCTATATTTCGAAAATGATAATTCCAAAGTTGCCCACTAGTACAGATTGCCATCGTGCTCCTGGCAGTCTTGGCTTCCTGCTACCCTCCTCTTTTCCTAAATCACGTTTTAGATGGCAGTCTCCCTCCTAATTTAGACAGAACTGGTCTGTCTTCCGCTCAGCCCCAACTAATGCTGGTACTATTACTGCAGATGGAGCCTGTGGGCAAAATGGTATCTCTGCCGCCCTAGAAGTATTTCAAGTCTGTGCAAGATTGCTAAATGCCTGGCTTGGGTAGTGGAATCCGGTTTTGCCCCACCTTAGCCAGAAGTAGCTCCTAGTAGAAAAACGAGACCAGATCAGGAGAAATAGGGGACAATTGCAGAATGGCATGTTGGAGATGCGGCCTGGGCTGTGCCTCCGTGCAGAAGTGCCTCGTATTCTTGACCATCGAATGGACAATGTCCTGGGAGTAGGCGGGCACATAGTTTCTTGGAACATTCCTAGGATCGTGCCCAGAAGCCATCACTGTGTGGGGCCCAGTTTGCATTTATTTATTTTAAATATTCATAATTTTTTTCTCCTGATCAGTGAGACTCAAAACAGTTTACATCACTGAGGGAGCAAGCCTAAGTCAGTCTGCTCAGAAGTAAGATCAAAATGGGTAGCTGTGTTAGCAGCAGAAAAGAGCAAGAGTAGGAACGGTAGGAACAAGAGTAGGAAGGGTAGGAACGAAAGTTCCTACCCTGCCACAAATGTTGTTAGTCCTCTGAAGAAATGAGCAGTAACTCACGAAAGTTCCTACCCTGCCACAAATGTTGTTAGTCCTTAAGGTGCTACTGAGCTCTTGCTTTTTTCTACTACTTAGGTGTAAGTCCGATTTTATTCAAGGGGTTGTATTCCCAGGAAAGTGTCTTTTGGATTGCTGCCTAGAACCAGGTAAAATTCCATTTTAAATAAATGCAATCCAAGTAACAAGACGCAAGCAAACTGTTGAGCACCCATAAAAGTGCCGTCTTACAGACCTTTCAAAGTCTCTGTAACCTCATGTCCTCAAGAAGCCTGTTCTGTAAAACAGAGATCACTGAACAGGAACAGTTCCTATTGCCTTGAGCAGACGAAGTGTTAACAGTCCCTGGTCTGATAATGGGAGCTGCATCATAGGGTGGACGCAGTCTCACAAACATGAGAGTCCC